TAGGAATACCAGAAGGAGAAGAAGAACAAGAGATAGAAAACGTATTTGAAAGAGTAATGAGAGAAAATTTCCTTAAGTTGATGAGAGAAAAAGTCACACATTTCCAGGAATCACAGAGATTCCCAATCAAGAGGAACCCAAAGAGGCCCACTTCAAGACACATTATCATTAAAATTGCAAAATTCCAAGACAAAGAGAATCTTAAAGGCAGCAAGGGAGAAAGAAGAAGTAACATACAAGGGAGCCCCAATAAGGTTAGCTACTGACTTCTCAATGGAAACACTCCAAGCAAGAAGAGAATGGCAAGAAATATTCTAAGTAATGAAAACCGGAGGCCTACAACCAAGGCTACTTTATCCAGCAAGGCTCTCAATCAAGATAGAAGGCCAAATAAAGAGCTTACAAGACAAAAGAAGTCTAAAAGAATACACCTCCACCAAACCAGCTCTACAAGAAAAGCCATCCTAAAAGGATGGCTTTAAGGAGAGGAAGGAAAAGAGACAGACAGAGAGGAACACAGGTACAAAAATGGCAATGAATAAGTACCTATCAATAATAACCTTAAACGCAAATAGATTAAATTCTCCAATCAAAAGACACAGAATAGCTCAATGGATAAGAAAGCATGACCCCCACATATGCTGCCACAAGAGACCCACTTCAGGACAAAAGAACATCACAGACTAAAAGTGAAAGGCTGGAAACAAGTTTTCCAAGCAAATGTACAAGAAAAAAAAGCTGGGGTAGCAATTGTCATATCAGACAAAATAGACTTCAAAAAAAGGGCCATAAAGAGAGACCCAGAAGGTCACTTCATAATACTCAAGGGAAGAATCCACCAAGAAGACATTAACATCATAAATATATATGCACCAAACATAGGGGCACCCAAATATATCAAGAAAATCTTAGAGGACTTCAAGACAGATATAGACAGCAACACAATTATAGTAGAGGATTTTAATACCCCACTGTCAAAAATGGACAGATCTTTCAAACAAAATATCAACAAAGATATTGCGGCATTAAACAGCACCCTAGATGAAATGGGCTTAACTGATATATATAGTGCCCTTCATCCCAAAGAAGCCAAATACACATTCTTTTTAAATGCACATGGAACCTTCTCAAAGATAAACCACATGATAGGACACAAAACGAGCCTCAAAAAATTCAAGAAAATTGAAATCATTCCAAGCTCTTCTCTGACCACAAGGGACTGAAATTAGAAACCAACCCCAAAGGAAAAAACCCAAAGCACCCAAAATCATGGAGACTGAATGGTATGCTATTAAACAATGAATGGGTCAAGAATGAAATTAGGGAAGAAATCAAAACGTGTCTGGAAAGAAATGAAAACGAACTCACAACAACCCAAAACTTATGGGACACAGCAAAGGCAGTCCTGAGAGGGAAGTTTATAGCAATACAGGCCTACCTAAAGAAGACAGAAACATTTCAAACAAACAACCTTACTATACGCCTGCAAGAACTCAAGGAACAACAACAAAGACAGCCTAGAGCAAGCAGAAGGAAGGAAATAACCAAGATCAGAGCAGAATTAAATGACATAGGGACTAAAAGCACAATTCTAAGGATCAATGAATCCAGGAGTTGGTTCTTTGAAAAGATAAACAAAATAGACAAGCCTTTAAGTAGCCTCATCAAGAAAAGAAGAGAGAAAACACAAATAAACACAATCAGAAACAAAAGAGGAGAGATTACAACTGATACCACAGAAATAGAAGGGATTGTAAGAAATTACTACAAAGAACTGTATGTCAGGAAATTTGAAAACCTAGGGGAAATGGACACATTTCTAGAAAAATGCAATCTTCCAAAACTCAGTGAAAAAGAAGCACAAAATCTAAATACACCAATAACAGCAAAAGAAATTGAAGCAGTAATCAAAAAACTCCCATCACACAAAAGCTCTGGGCCAGATGGGTTCCCAGGAGAATTCTACAAAGCATTTAAGGAAGAGCTAACCCCTATTCTCCACAGACTATTCCAAAAAATCCAGAAGGATGGAAAACTCCCAAATTCTATTTATGAAGCCAGCATCATCTTAATTCCAAAACCAGATAGAGACACAACAAAGAAAGAAAACTTCAGGCCAATATTGCTGATGAACATAGACGCTAAAATCCTCAACAAAATATTGGCAAATTGCATCCAACAATACATCAAAAAGACCATACACCATGACCAAGTGGGATCATCCCAGGGATGCAAGGATGGTTCAACATTCGCAAATAAGTAAATGTAATATATCACATAAACAAAAGCAAAGACAAAAACCATATGATCGTATCAATAGACGTAGAAAAAGCTTTTGATAAGGTACAACACCCATTTATGATAAAAACACTCAGCAAAGTGGGAATTGAGGGAGCATTCCTCAATATAATACAGGCCATATATGAGAGACCTACAGCCAACATCATACTCAATGGGCAAAAACTAAAAGCTTTTCCACTAAGATCAGGAACAAGACAAGGATGTCCACTTTCACCACTTCTATTCAATATAGTATTGGAAGTTTTAGCCACAGTGATCAGACAAGAAAAGGAAATAAAAGGCATCCAAATAGGAAAGGAGGAAACAAAACTGTCTGTTTGCAGATGATATGAAAATCCTACATGGAAAGTCCTACAGACTCTACCCCAAAACTGCTCGAACTAATTAATGAATTTGGCAAAACAGCTGGTTACAAAGTCAATATCCAGAAATCAAAGGCATTTTTGTATACCTCAATGAATCAGCACAAGCAGAAATCAAGAGAAAAATCCCGTTTGATATAGCAAAAACAAAAATAAAATACCTAGGAATAAACCTAACCAAAGAGGAAAAAGACCTGTATGTAGAAAACTACACAGCCCTGAAGAACGAAATCAAGGAAGACACAAACAATTGGAAACATATACCTTGTTCATGGATTGGAAGAACTGACATCATCAAAATGTCCATAATACCCCAAAGCAATTTACAGATTCAATGCAATACCTATTAAAGTACCAATGGCATATTTCACAGACATAGAACAAACACTTCAAAATTCTATATGGAACCATAAACGAGCCCAAATAGCAGCTGCACTTTTGAGAAAGAAGAACAAAGTAGGAGGAATCACAATACCTGATCAAATTGTATTACAAGGCCACTGTAATCAAAACAGCCTGGTACTGGTATAAAAACAGGCACATAGACCAGTGGAACAGAACAGAGAGCCGAGAAATAAACCCAACACTATACAATCAATTAATATTTGACAAAGGGGGCAGTAACATAAAATGGAGTAAAGATAGCCTCTTCAACAAATGGTGTTGGGAGAACTGGACAGCTACATGCAAAAAAATGAAACGTGAGCACCAACTTACACCATACACCAAAATAAATTCAAGGTGGATAAAAGAGTTAAATATAAGCTTTGAAACCATTAAAGTTCTAGAGGAGAACATTGGCAGGAAAATCTCAGATATTTCATGCAGCAACATTTTTACTGATATGTCCCCTAGAGCAAGGAATATAAAGGAAAGAATAAACAAATGGGATCTTATCAAAATAAAAAGTTTCTGCATGGCTAAAGAAAAGAGTATTAAATTTAAAAGACAATCAACTGTACGGGAAAACATATTTGCCAATGATACCTCAGACAAAGTTTTAATCTCCAAAATATACAATGAACTTACAGGACTCCACTCTAAGAAGACAACTAACCCAATTAAAAAATGGGAAAAGGCAAGCAGAAAAAACAAAACAAAAAGCAAAGACACTGAAATAGAGAACAAGGGGATAGTGACCAGGGGGGAGAAGGAAGGGAAGTTAAGGGGAAAAAGGGGGGAGGGATTTGGAGGAACAAATAGGAAGGACACAGGGACGAGAACTAAGGGGGGTGGAAATGGGAGGGAGGTGGGGAGCAATGGGCGGGGGAGGCTGGGATGGGAAAAATAGACAAAAAACTGTACTTGAAAAATAACTAAATAAAATTTTGAAAAAATGGGAAAAGGACTTGAACAGACACTTCCCCAAAGAGGACATACAGAAGATCCAGTGACACATGAAGAAATGCTAAATATTTCTAGCTATCAGAGATATGCAAATTAAAACCACAATGAGATACCACTTTATACCAGTCAGAATGGCTATCATAAACAAAGCAACCAACAACAAATGTTGGAGAGGGTGTGGGGAAAAAAGGACCTTAGTTCACTGTTGGTGGGATTGCAGACTGGTACAACCATTATGGAAAGCAGTATGGAATTTTCTTAGAAAAATAAAAATGGATCTGTCTTTTGACCCAGCAATTCCACTTCTGGAATTATATCCTAAGAACCCTGAAACACCAATCCAAAAGAACCTATGCATTCCAATGTTCGTAGCAGCACAATTTACAATAGCCAAGAGCTGGAAGCAACCTAGGTGCCCATCAGTAAATGAATGGATCAAAAAATTGTGGTACATATACACAATGGAATTCTATGCAGCAGAGAGAAAGAAGAAACTACTACCCTTTGCAACAACATGGATGGAATAACTTCTAATAAGAAGTGCAGTCTAGGACTTAAAACTATTTCAGTTATTTTTCATTGATTTGCCTCTTTCTAATAGTAATTAATTACATTGAACTAAATACTTTCTGTCTACAGGCTTTGTGCCAAACTCCTCACATCTTGCCTTCTTTCAGCCTGAAAACACTGTACAGAATTGACACTATTTTCCCTCCATCATATCAGGAAGCTGAAGCATAAGGAAGTTTGACACCATGCCTGAAGTTATACAGTTGGTATTGAAACAGGTTAATAAATCCATATCTGACACTAGAGCCTGAGCTACTCATCCACTGTGTTACCTGCCTTGATAGCCTGAATGCTAATGTGATGATTTTAGTTAAGATAAATTTGTGTCCAGAAACAAACTTTAATTTTTCTTTGTTTCCCACTTATTTTCTTCTTATTATAGGGTCAGTTGACCACTGTGGCATAGAAGGTTGTACTCACCCCGTTTGTGAAGGAGTACGCTGGCATGCCGACGTCCATTTCCATTTTCAACATAACAGGAGTAATTTCCCAAGTCACTTTCTTGTACAGAGTCCACGATTAATGAGATGGAAACTTCTTGTTCCCCAAGATGCTCCTTGAGAATTCTAAAATATAAAGCAAAACAAAACAAAAGACCCCACACAAACATACACATACATAAAAAAGAAAAAAAATTAGATGAATCTGAATCTGATTTGGAAACACCTGCAGCATCTGTGCCTCAAATTTAGCTATGGATTGATGGTATCTTAATCAAAATATATCATGCCCTCTTCACTCCTAATGAGTAAATTTGTCTTTGTAGATGCTAATGAAGTTGCAGTTAATTATCTCTCTTAGCAGGACAATCACACTGTCATAATAAAGAAGTGAGAGAGACCTTGAAGAAAAGTTTATGAACTGCTTTCCCTCTAAGAAGAAATGTGATGTAAAAGTGAGATAAATTCTAATGTCTTAGGCTAGAGGACTAATTATGTCTGAAGAAGAAAAAATTCTTGAGTTCTTTTGACATTTCAGTGGAAACCTCCAGCCTGGCCTCTTTTTCTGATACAAATCAATTGCCAATTTTTTAAAAAATATGAAATTAATAAACCTGTAGACAAAGTGGTGTGATGAAGTGTTTAATTCTGGCATTTAAAATGAATGGTAAGTGCTCACTAATCTCAACTGTCAAAGATTTTAGCAATCTTTTAGAGCAAATGGGAAATTTCATGATAAATCTCCTTTTCCCTGCTCAAAAGGTTTCTGCCTCTACCTTCCCACCTGTTTGGTAACCTATCTTGACACGACACTTCTTAAGGCAGAATTAAAGAAAAATAGCTTTCTAGAACCTTCCCTGAGCACCCACAAAAAGAGAAAGGGGGACAGTTAGGAGGTTTAGTGTCCTTTTTTAATTTTAGCATTTCCAAGTGTGTGGGTCAATGGTAACCGTGAAGTTGTAAATATGAAAATGGCCAAGGAACACCTTAGTATACATATTGGAGAACTGCCTACCTGGGCATTTCAGAACCCAGTTTGTGTGTTAGATCCTTGTGTATTTGTTGCCAGGAAGAAGATCCTAGTAGAAATGATCTTATGTGACAGTCTTATGTGTTTTCATTTTCTATTGAAAAACTTTTTCCCCTTTACCTTTGATCCCCTTTTACCTTTGAAAATTTTAAGTCCTCACACTTAAAAGTGTTCTCTTCCAAGAAGAGGAAACTTGGTTAAAATGCTCCTGTACTCCCAGAACATGTGACCTTTACATGGGAGAGTGTTTGCAAATGACCAGCACTTGGATTCAGTTATAACTTAATTATTATTAATATGCTTGCTTCTGTACATTATGATTAAAAATGAGTTTCTAAGCCCAAGCATCATTTTAGTTCTAATTGAATACCTTGATTCTTAAAAGTAAATGAACAAAGAAATTATTTTTTAAAAAGAGGCTTAAGCCTTGTGCCCTCAAATCAATGGTATTTTTAATGGCTGTTCTCTATCATTCCTACTATATTCACATTTAGAACTTGAAGTCAGACTAGAAAAGGTAATAAAATCATTTGGTGTATCCTTTATCATTCCTACCAAGTGCTTTATAGTCTACTCGATGCCTCAAATATGAAAATATATAAAAGAAAATGACAGAGCTTGTGTCTGGTTGAGTCCTGGTACCTTGTTAGTATTTCCTTTTAACAATTTAAAACAAAGAGCTCTTACAAACAAAATGTACAATATTGCATTTTCTGAATTTGTTGTTACTTTTGTCTGTTTCACATTCAGTACCTTCCTCCATGAAAAACTCCTTTTTACTTCTCTTAATTCTTTGCAAATGGCATTCATGCTTTGCAATTCCATAGTCTTTCAACAGTGTTTTGCCTTTTTGCCATTAAATGTTGCAAAATTTTTACTATAATAGTAAAACAAAACAAAAAAAGTCTTTTCTTTCAGCTTACTTTCTAGTCACCAGCTGAGCAAATGTTAATCTTGACTACAAGGCAAAAGAAAAAATATATTTTACCTAATGTCACTTTCCCAAAGTCGATTTTCATCCAGATCTTCGATAAACTTTTCTCCTTTCATCCAGTAAATTAAAGGACTGACATCTCCACTGTACCCAAAGAAAGCTCTGCAGGTTATATTAGCTGAGTCACCTGTGGAGAGAAGTGATAGAAATATGTTATAAAACTCTTTGTACACTGTTTTTTTTTTCCCAGGCAGACTGGCAGGTACCATTTTGATTACTTAATTAATTTAATGAAACATCTTTCTAAAATAATCCTTCTGCTCTTTTCAATCTTTGTCAAGTTTATAAAATGTATGCTTTTGACAACTTGTTGAATGAAATGATAGTGACTCATAAAATTTTCACTGAGACTGGCCAGTTAGTTTATAGATGGTTCTACCATATAGGTTTGCCTGATGTTTTCACATGATCGGACTGAGGCTACAAACATTTGGGAAAGTACCACAGAGGTGATGTGCCCTTCCCAAAGCATGATACCAGGAGATACATAGTATTGATAATTATAAAATTTTATACTGCAATTAGAAGGTGTTTCTCACTCCTGAATATAAGTAATAGAAAGGGAACAAAATCACTGGATAGGAAAGAAAAGGAACTGGAAATTCAGGATCCTCAAAAAACATTATTAAATTACTTTTACTATATAAGGAATAATAATTTAATTAGGGAAACCAACATATTCTCAGGTTGAAAAGAACATGAAAAAACAAAGGAATGACTAAGAGTCAATAGTAGGGATTTTTCTTAGATGTAAAATCAATGATACTATGGTAAGGTGAGTTCCTTTCAATATGCTCTTCAGGAGAGACGATTGTAATGGTGAGTGCAGATTGGTTGATTACTTAAAAAGATAAGTAGAGGCCCCTGAATAAAAGGTGGAAGTGCATTTATTTCATGCCTTCAGAAAACATAACATTTATCTCTAGACAGGTAATGCCATTTTGCAAACATCCAGTTTACCCAAGCCTCAGCCAGCATTAGAGAACTGAAATATTCCAGTACGGGCTAGTTTTCAAATCTCACTGCCTCCATGTGGAATCAGAAAGGGGGGGTCAGGATGAGCTGGGGACCTGTAAAGACTGACTCCGCTAGGACTGAGGAAAGGGAACTCTCAGGGATGGGCACTATATACGTGAGAGGCTGAAAATGATGCCCCAGCGACCCCTTTGTTGGTGTTTGAAGTAAGAAAACTTTCTCAAATTCAGAAATTCCTGTAAAGGTTCTTGAGGACCTAACAAGGTCAAAGAAGGACAAGACTAGAGACTTGGAAACCTCAGAGCTAAGCTATGAGTTAATAGTGAATATCTACTGAAATTATGCTTAGGAGTGATTCTACCATATAAATCCAAAGGAAAGCACAGTGTGCTTAGATGAACTCTTTCCAAACCTGCTATGGGTATACCTATATTCTATTCTTCAAGTCCCACAGCAAGATAATTTTATTGGATAAAATCAATACTATCTTAATCATGTTCATTGTATAAGGAGAGTTCATAAATAAATTCTTGCTCTTCTATTATTTCTAAGATGGCGTGCTATAGCTTTCTCCTCTTATCTTATCTTTGTTCATGTCTGAATCTTGTCCAAGTAAGTGATTCCTCTTGGACTTCAGTTCTATATGCAATAGTAAACATTAAAAATCAGATAAGGCAAGTCCAGAAAATGTCTATAAGCTTTTAAGAAGCAAAACGGAGCTCCAAGAATGTTCCTTTATTATTATTTTTATACATAAATATTGCCTAAATGTTCTAACATGGCATTACACCTTTGTTGGAGAATACTTATGTTATAGAGTGGATATCCAAATGCCAAATTTGTGATTGGAAATTAGCCAGAGATTTGTATGAGAAGTCTCAATTCAATGTGACAAAACAGTTTTAAACCCAGTATTCTTTGGCTTTACATTTTTCTAAGGGCACTAACTTATATGCAACCTCACTACCCATTATATCTCGAGGTGGTCATGAATTCTATAGTAAATCTCAAAATACTACTTGTGATGATAAACATCACATGCCAACAGAATGACCATACATTAGAGAGTTTTACATTTTTATGGCAATAATTTACAAAATTTATTTTTAAGTGATCAAGTTTTTGCTTGTAGCAGGGAGTTAATGACTGAAACTCATTTAAAAAAACTCTCCAGAAATTACCTAACTTTCTATTACAGTTTGACTAAATATGAGGCTTATAAATAATGATCATACAATGAGCAACTCAGCCTGACATTCCTTATGACAGAAGTCAGTTGAATCCCTCATTGGGACCTGAATTTGTCTCTCCTGTCACAATTGCAGCTTTGCAGATCAAGTGATTTTCCATCACCTAATTCTTCATTTCTCTTACCTGCAGGCTTTTTGCTATCACACCTATGAAATGGCTCTTGCAACCATGTCAGAAACGATTTGCTTTCTCAATCTTCTTGGCTCACCGGGTCTTTGACTATCTACCTTGCCTTGAGCTCCAGTACTAGGGGTATCTGCAGTGTTTTGGGGGCACCTTGGGGAACTCTATCCAGATTTGGATCAATCTTGCTGTGGGTCATAGACTAAAATTCATGGGAGGAATTAAAAGAGGATGAGGGGAAAATAGTAAAGCACTCCAGGCACAGAGGAAAAAGTGTAAGTAAAAGAATGCCAGAGAACTTTGGAGGAAGTAAATAACTTCAGACTGGCTAAAGCTAAAGTGAACTTGGTGGGATGCTGGGGTGGGGGAGAGGATTGGGGGGAAAATAGGGCACCAATGAGGCCTGAATAGTGGCAGCCCTAGCTTTCCCTACAGGCCATGTTGAAGATTTGGGATGTGCTTTTAAGGACAATGCTATGCTGGTGAAAGATTTCAAGAAGATGGACATAATTTCATTTGAATGCTAAAGAAATTACTTTTGCTGTACTTGAAATGCTGAGATTGGATCAGAGAGAATCACGAGCATTGAGAGGGTTAGAGTGTTTTGGGATCATAACATAAGGAATCACTGCACAAAGATTGGAATTTTCTCACATAATTACTTAAAAGAATAAAGCATAGTTGATAGCATTGGTGACAGATCACTATGCTTTTTTATCAATGTGATAATAGAGAACCTCTCAAACCAGAGATTTCATAGGAAGTCTAATGAGGTAGAAAATATTTTTTTTATTTTTTATAATTCACATGCATCACTGTGTGTCGCAGGAGAGAATGGGGGAATTGGGATGTTGCCAGCTGGTTCTCAATATAATCAGGATAGAAAGTCAACTTGGCAGAGCTCTGTTCTGTGAAGAGGTTTTTGAGTGGGTTCTCTTAATTATATATGTGCCTGGCAAAAGGCACCACTGCCAGGAAAGGACACTAGAAGCCCATGTAGTCAAACTTGAGACAAGATAAGGTGAAGTCAGGCTCACACTTGAGATACAACCACCCAAATGTTTGGAAGGAAAGCTATGACTACCCAGTCCTTTTCCTTTAGATAAAGGCGGCCAATTATGTGAGTGTCAGGGAGCTGTGACCTTAGCCCCCAAGTCTGTATTGCCCATGTTTGGAAGCTGTAAAATAGAACTATCATCACTTCCCTTCAAGCTGAATAAGAATCAGGAGTTGATCGAAATTCATGGGGCAGGGTGGGGTCTAGGGAGAGATGATACTCTCCTACTCAATAAGGGAAGATCAAGATTAATATAAGGATGATTAGGAAAATGAAGATATTTTATTTATGAAGCTAATTAGGCAATTAGAAAATAGGAATTAGGAAAGTAAACATGTTATGACTGTGTACCTTTAGCTGATGAAGTAGGACATGCCAGTTACACAACAGGTTATTAGCATCTGAGTTTTAGAAGTAGTCCATGCACTATTCAGTTCATATTCTCATGCTTTTTAAAGGTATATTCTTCGCTTTATATTCCCTTTTTTTTCCACCTAAGGTACTACTTTTCATCCATTAAGAGCTAACTCAAATAGAAACTGACATGGACTCCCTAGGAACAGTCAGTCACTTTGTCTTTGCCTTCCATACTCCATGATGAATACCTGTATTTATCAGAATATATTCCCTACAATAGTTGGCTTATTTGCATATCTACCCTAGCAACTACAGCATTCCCTCCCAAAGGTAGAAATTGTATCTGCATTTACCTTTATGTGTTACCAGGACCCATTACAGTGTTTTGAATATATTAGGAATTCAATAAATCATTTCAAATCAATTAATAACTTGCTTAATATCTTTCAAATTTGCATTTTCCCTTGCTTCCTTTTATCAAAGCTTAATTAATTAATTAATTGATATGCATACACCTTATTTCAACAGGCCAAATCTATCTTGAAACTAGCCTTCAACATTGCATATGCAGAGTCTCCTCATTCAGACATTATTTCACTTGTGGACTAGAGCCAGTTCATACCAGCTTACAAGAGTGGATTACTACATTTTTGGAAAATTTGTAAGCAGTTTGTTAAACATAATAATTGTTTACAATTAAATGATAAAAATATACAATTAAAAATACCTTATTAAAAACAAAGGTTAATAGATAAATCAAAATGCCCTAAAGTATTAAGCAACATTTTTAATATGTAGCATCCATATGGCAGAAATACTATATAACAGTGTGCTACTGAGCATCTCAGCAGCCCATTTAGTGAGATTATGTTGGTAGCTTGGAGTCAACCATGGTGGGAGTATTTACCCATAAGTTGCTAAACGCTACAAATAAAGGTATGATTTATTGTTTTGTTGATTGTCTATAGAGAAAATGTTAATAATGCAGATTAAACTTAAAAATGTCATGCGTATAACTGTTACATTGGTAATTGCACAGACATTAAAAACATATTCCTCTAGTATCCAAAAAATATATTTTGATTCAGCAAGGAAATCATTCACATCACTCATGAACAAAGTTCTAACATGTATCTCCTATGTTTACTCATTTGCTAGTGTAAACAAAAGTATCAACCACCTATATGTCAGAATCGTACTTGGACATCCCATTGTTAAGCATTTACCAGCATACTCTCTATCAAACTGCTTTTTTCAAAGATACTGCAAGCACATCTTAATAGCTTTATTGAGATACAACTCACATACCATCCATCTACCCATTTAAAATGTCATGTAAGTCAATGGTTTTCAGCACATTCACA